TTTTCTCCATTGACAAGTAAATGTCTTGTTATTGATTTAAAAATTATTTCCGACTAAAGCGTGGTGCATGATCAGGCGCGTACGCAGGGGGGGGGGGGGGGGTAATCCCCCTTGAGTTTTTTAAATGTATATGTTTTTCTAGAACCCCCCCCCCCCCCGCTTATTTAGCGGCTGGCTGAGTCGTTGCGAATTTTTTGGCCCCCTTGAAAAAAACCTGCGTACGCCACTGTGCATGATACATTTACAACTTCACCAAGTACGACACATTTTCAAGAAAATGGCTACGCCCATGTCATGCTAAAAGGCATCACATCTTGCAAAGAATATCTTCATGTATATATCTCTTGTCCATTTCCGTAAGTAATATTTTATATGAAAGGGCCGGAATACATCTCACTCTTCAGAATACCTGCATTTATTCTTTGAGGTGAGGTTTCCTTTAAATCTGGAAATACTTTGTTTTGATTTCTTTATTTTGTTTTGAAGGGTTGGACTTCATCAAAACTATTATTGAGCATTACTTTCGGAGAGATAAAATATTGCTTATCAACAAAATGAAATGTTAATTATGTTATCTAAAATGATCTGCTCATCAGCAGCTTTGTATAAGTCATAAATAGAGCCCCCCCCCAAAAAAAAAAAAAATAAATAAATAAATAAATAAATAAATAAATAAATAAATAAATAAATTAAAAAAAAAAAAAAAAAAAATAATAATAATAATAAAAAAAAAAATAATAATAATAATAATGAAAAAAAAAGAAATCGCGACTTGGCCTAAATAGAGATATCTTCAATGTTTACAAAATGTATTTAATGTTTGAACGGCGCTGTAAAATACAAAATATATTTTTTTGATCGTTACAAATCCAACTGATGTAATGATGAAAATCATTTCGCGCATCATTTATTATGTCGGGCAAAAACAAATAAAACAATTCGCGACTTGGTTTAAATGGAGACATTGTACATTTAGATGTACAATATTAGATTGCCTACGATAGAGGTTTTGAATGTTAACAACATGCGTTTAGTGCTCGACCGTCGCTGTATCACACACACATTTTGTTTTGTTTTAATCGTTACAAATCCACCAGATGTAATAATGAAAATCATTTCGCGCATCATAATTAAGTCGGGCAAGAAAAAGTGGGGAAAAAGACGGAGAGCGGAAAAAAGGGATTCCGTTGTAATCCAATTTTAAAAATCAATCGGGTGACTTTCATGCATTTTGTCAATTACCGCAACCAGCTTTGTTTTTAACGTGTGAGCGGCCGATCGAGATTTGAGTTATAGAGGTTCGTGTGTTACATTACGAGTGGTGATCTTTCTTTACTTATTTTGTTTTTACATTTCTCCTTAGTGTCAAAACAGCCTTGACTATACACGGTCGACAAGATGACGTCTATTATGAGAACAGGGTGAAGGTTTAGCAACGCTATTCCAATTAGAGGTCCGTATGATATTTAAAATACATGTATATATATTTCATCGAGCGAGTTCGACCAGCGATAGAAATATGGAAGTAAGGTTACCCGCACTTTTTGGTCGTGAGATGTGTTTAAAATTGAAGCGGGGACCGAGTAAAGTTATGCAATGTGCCAATGATAAGAAGGGCGGTCAAAATATGTCGACAAGATTGGAATTCAAGAGTATAGTAAGCATCGCTTTATGAAAACTTGATCACGATTCCTACAGATGAATTTGAATATTTGTTGTCCTTCTAATGAACCATATAGGCCCACATATCAAGTATACTTAATATCAAGCAATTCTTGTCAAAGTTATCTTTAGCCATAAAACCATTAATCAAAAATCTGTACATGTATAACCAATGTTTTTGTATGTTTTTTCACTTTTCATTATCTCATGGTGGAAAAATCTAAACTGTACTAAAAACTGTATCTGTTTGCCTACTACTGAATGACATCTTCCTGCAGCTACCCTACTTGTTTTCTCGCACTTTCTGAAGTGTATTAAGATCTTTTACAAGGGTATAATGCGTTATGTAAAACCTGTTCTATCATCATCACGACATTTTTATTATTATCTAAATGCAATGCACAATTCTTATTTTCAATTTTCACCGCACAATGGCCATTATGATCATTATTACACATGCTTTTAAGCAAACACAATTTAAAAAAAAAAGAATTACAGAGAGCAAAATGCAAGAAGTTAGAGAAATAAAGGTTTTAAATTAAAATAAAGAAATTATTTTTTATATTTCTGTTATTCTTTTTACGATGATCACAAATTACAATACAAATGGCTTGTTGAATTTTACAAAATATCAAGGTTTCTATTTATTACTACATAACTTGAATTTTTATTTACATTTCAATTAATTTGTGCTAATGATCAGAAGCAATCCAAATCGGCACAAGGCTTTTGAATTGTCAAAGGAATACAGTTTAAATGTACATACAAATGTTTTTTTTAAATGGACGGAATATGGTGTGTGGCCTTCTCACAGTGAATTATATCAAAGGTAAAATGAATATAAAGAGTTAAAATTATATATCAAAGCTTGATGAATAAATTTGTGCAGTTTAACAAAAAAACAGAAAAAGCTATCCTCACTTAGCTTCACATTTCTCAAAAACTTCTTATAAATTAAAAAATAGCAAAATAGCTATAAAACTTTGAAAATATAAATGTTTTTTGTAGTTATGACAAAGGAACATAAAAGTGAGAATGATCAGAATACTTCAGGGTAGCATTTAGTACAACAATCTGTGTTAAATGAAAAAGCTTGTTTGATGGACAGAATGTTCAAACAAATTGTGGTTTTGGCCTTAGTTTCTATACAATTGCACCACATGCACATGTTTTGAGGAAAAAACTTCACCCGGCATTCTATAGGCTTACAATGAGAGAGTATGAAGGTCTGAAGGAAATAAAGAAATCTAACGTAAAACCCTACACATGGAACCCAACTCAGACTTGGGTTCTGTGCGGGCCTTATTCTCTGTGAGCACATACGATTGCGTCGACTAGTCTACTCACAAATTGCTATTATGTTAATTTAGATTAGTGTAAACTTGCAATATTTCTTAACAGAACAATTATTTGAAGCTCATGTTTGGAATAAGAGTATAGCTAAACAGGGCTCAAAACATACAGAGCACAGTCATTGGTACACTTTAGAGGCAAGCAAACTTGACTGAAATTACTCTTTCATGGCTTAATAAGTTTTCCTATAAAAGGTTTCCACTTTCCAGATTTATTTATGTTTTAATTGATTTGCACCAATCACCAAAACATGACTGATCATGACATAAGGGGTTCCCTGTCACCATACGGTACACAAATATGAGCTTCAAATATTACCCCTACAACAAATTGCTGTACTGGGTAGCTGCATCTGTTTACAAGTTAATAAAGAAATGAAAAGTTTAAAATGACTGAATTTTAACATAGTAATAAATATCACTTGTATACAAAAACATTATTCAGGATTACAAGGTCAGCGTTTTGCCTAATGAAAGACACTCAGATTGAATTTAATGTGGCTGAATCATTTGCCTAACTATATGTAACCAAATTGTGAAACACAAGGCAGATAATGACTAACTCTAGTAAAATGCAATATAATTATTCCAAAACTGCCTAACTATATAGAAATATCAGAAACTCAGATATTTGAACTGCAAGTTTTTTCCCCTTGTATCTCAAGTTTAATTAATTTCTTGAAATGATGTTACTTCTCAACTCATACAATGTTATCATGATGAGGTTGTTTCTTTTCTTAGAGAAAATGATTGTGCACATCACCATATATTGCAGGGAAATCATCTTTGATAGCAATATACTCTAGAGGAAAGCAGAAAAAGCAGAAAAAGCAGAAAAAGCAGAAAAGTAGACTGGTGAAAGTTTGAAAGAAATCTGACAAAAAATGAAAGAGTTATGAACTTTTGAAATTTTTTAGTTACTATAGGTATGGGCTTTTGAAATTGGCTGAATCGGTAGCCTTTGTGATGTAGTGACGGACAACTTTCTCATTTGTTCCAACACAAAAAAAATAACAAAAATTGCAATTTTCCCCAAAATCTAAGACTCAGGAGGGTCTTTTCTCTAGAGGATGTGTAATATTATGCTATACATAATATATTTTGAGTATTGCCCCAAGGAAGAAGGCATGTAGGAGAAAAACAGAAATTTGGGATTTTGTTTTTTGTACACAACAAACTGGAGAGTTATCCGCGACTATGTCAGAATCCCCTGACCAAACTGCCAAATGTGAGATTTGGACAGACTTTAGTAATCTCATATTTCCAACATTCATAATTGTTGGTCCATTCTATTTCAAACTTTTAACATTCTGTTTCTCTTTTTTTTCTGCCTCTTAAAGGGAAAGACCAGTTTTGGAAACGCCCCTCTCTCAAAAAATGAAATGGAAGCTCTTATTACCAATCATGTGAAAGAATATGTTTTGACTATTACATGATGACACAAATTTTGCAGGAAAACCGCCTACTAATTGATATATTTGGTAAATTATCATATCTATCTGGACTGGATAAATATAGGGTAGTCACATCTTTCTGTGTACAGTGCTTGTAAATTTACCAAGACTGGGCCAAATTTCTTATCATTTTGATGATTCCAGAACCTTGCAGTACACACCTATACTTATATGCTAGATGATCAACCTTTTCTGATCGATTCCACAATGTTTCTTTCACAATGCAATCACATGACCAGAACTGGTCTATACCTTTAATGCAAATTATCTTATCACATTTGACAATAAAATAAAATTAAGGCCCTCTAAATTGTTGGGAGCCCTAAATTTGCCAAAAATTTGATGGCAAACTTTCACTTAAATTGTATTACAATGTGAAAGCGGATGTCATTTAAGACACACTACTGCTAAAATTGATTCTACTTGCACTTACTTAAGTGCAATGTGAAAGAGGATGTCATTTAAGACACACTACTGCTAAAATTGATTCTACTTGCACTTACTTAAGTGCAGTAAGAAACAAAGACTAACACAAGAGAAGACATACATGTATTTGTCTGTAAATATGCTTACTGACAACCATTCTGCCTGTGGCTTGCATTTTCCAACATTTCAGATTAGATGCAATTAGATACATGAGCAGACTCTTAAACAAATGTTGAACAGCACATTCTATTAACCAACAATAATGTAGATTTCATTAGGTCGTTCTATCAGATAAAAGGTTCCGTATTTTCTCCTCTGAAATCCCAAACCCATTATTGGACTTTGCATTCTTCTTCCATTCCGAGTCCACAGGACTTTCATCGCTCATGAGTTCTTGCAACAGATCATCCAACTCCAGATCAGATGCCTTTGTAGATCTACCAGACACAGGACTTGTATCACGACCAACCCCCGAGTCACGACTAATCCCCGAATAACGACCAACCCCCAAATCACAACCAACCCCCAAATCACGACCAACCCCCGAGTCCAGCTCATAAAGGTTTGTGTCAGGTCTGAGAGGTGGCTTGGGAGAAGAAGTCAAGCCGCTATGGTCCACAGTTTCAAGTGAAGAGGCCCGCTGCTGTGCCACCTTCAATCTCCGGCGGTGTCGACTGGTTCCAGCACTAGAGGGGGCGCTCTTCGTCCCTTCCTCTGAGTTTTCATGGAACGCTGGATCATGGTTTCCTGCTGAGCTTATTCTGATCTGATCCCTTGTCAAGGTTTCAGTATTGTTCAGGTCTTCCTTTTGGCTATTCAAATTCCTTTGGAGTTCAACAGCAGAAGCATCTTTCTTTTTACTCCTAGAAGTACTTCTTTTCCTCCTATGACTACTACCTTCCTTAGTTTCTGCGCTACTAGATCTTTCTGAAGATCTCCTATCATCAACACTTGGCCTTTCATTTTCATTGCCACTTTTTCTTCTTTCTCGAGATGAGCTTTGTCTCCTTTTGCTAGATTTACCTGATGAAATCCTTTCTGTATCCCTAGGAATCTCATCATGATCATATCCTCCTACAGTACTATCAGAGACTTGTTTCCCTATAACTTCTTGATGATCCCCAATGGTGTCTCGTTCATCATCTTGTACTCTTTCAAAGGACTCTCCTGACAGTGACCTCACGCTTCTTCCACTACCTTCCCTCTGATGGCTAGACTCTATCCGCCCATCCCTTGCGGAACGCTGATGACTCCTCCCGCTCAAGGGCCTGTTGGTAGCCCCGCTGGGTGGCCTGCTACCCACTTCACTCGGAGCTCGACTGGTCGGCCTCTCCTGCTCAAGCTGATTGGCGAGTTCCTTGATGGTCCTGTCCTTCCCCTGCAGCTGCTCTTGTAGTTGGATGATCTGATCCTCCTGGGCAGAGACCTGGTTAGACAGCTCAAGAATGACCATCATCCTGGAACCCTCACCACCAATCTGGTTTGATGATGGCTCCGTCTCGCTAGATCTACTGTTGGCTCGATCAAGACGTTCTGTTTGAAACAAGTATGAAGGAAGACATAGAAACATAATATTCTCAGATTAATACAATCTTAAATACAATAGTAGAATAGATAAAGCGTATTAAGAACAAAAATTAGTTCTACATTTACATTCATAAGTTGTTATGAAATAAATAGATATTCATATACAGATGTACATCTATCATCAAATGTATGATAATTCTAACTCACATCAGAAGTATTTAATCAATAAATTTTTTCATTGATTAATTTTGAAATGCATTTCCGCCTGGCTGGAATGCTCCCCAGGGAGTGGAGAATGTGCATACATTGTGTGCGGGTAAGCCTGAATCCTATGACCGGGGTAATAATATAACTATCTGTAAAGCGCTTTGAGAGGGCCTTCGGTCCTGAAAAGCGCTATATAAGAACTAGCTATTATTATTATTATTATACTTTGCAAATGTCCAAAAGAAAGTGAGAGAGATAATGGAGAGTTACATGTACCGGTATACAGTGTGGGTCCAAAAAAGTTTACACCTAAAAAATTGCTAATTATTTTAAAAATCATCTATGAATAGTAAATTATTATACATCTTATGAAAGAGTGTTTTATCCCAAATCATTTGGTATCATTTTTGTGTGGTATGTGTTCACGCTTGGATGAATAGGAACCATTGTTTGCGAGAGTGCAAAATTTGATTTGCTCCAAATTTGCTTGTGTGATGTTTGAATAAAAAAATTGGGATTTGGGTATCACTTCGGTCTTTGCAAATCCAAATAACATCCCAAACAAAATTGATCATGCCACATATCAAATATTGAATATCAATTATTAACGAACATTTGTGAGCGTGTGTTTTTTTTTTTTTATAACTTTGCTTCTGCATAAAGCATACACTCACTCTGCTAATCCCAACATAATACATGCTGTAGGCATCACTTTGGCGCAAGTCGATTTTTGCACTCTCGCAAACAACGCCTCATGTTCATCCAAGCGTGAACACATACCAAACAAAAATGATACCAAATGATTTGGGATAAAACCTTCTTTCATAAAATGTATAATAATTTACTGTTCATAGATGATTTTTAAAATAATTAGCAAGTTTCTAGGTGTAAACTTTTTTTTGACTCACATGGTATAGGGGAACATGATCTCTTCGTCACAATTGTGATTACAGTGGTTTAGGCATGTAGCTAGATGGAAGCATAGCTTGGCAAACTCCTTTATGTATGGAGGAAGTGATGGGAGAAGAAAGAGGGGCAGACCAACTAGGACATGGAATGATATGAAGCTGACTTTGAGCAGTTAACTAGAACAGCTGAAAACAAAAAGTTAGGTAAAACCTGTGTCTCAAGGTCCACTTCATTGTTGCCCAAACGGCCACCAAGCTATGGGACATAGCTACATATATAGATAGATAGATAGACAGACATACAGATATATAGATAAATATAAAGATAGAAAGATAGATAGATAGAAAGATAGATAGAAAGATAGATAAACAGACAGATAGATACACGGATAGAAAGATGGATATATATGTTTAGATAAATAGATAGATACATGAATAGATAGACAGACAGATAGATGAATTAATAGATAGATCGATGTGTAGATAATTGAATAGATAGTTATAAAGATAGATAGACATACATACATACATACATACATACACATCAAAGAGATATGAATAAGAATGGGTTAATTGTCTGACCTGTAAGTTTAAGGTTCTCTTCCTCCATCTGTTTAATCTGGTCTTTGAGGCTGTACAGTTTGAGAGAACTCTCCTGTTTAGCCTCAGTCACCTGAGTGTTTGCTGCCCTCAACTTCTTACGAAACTTGGAACGCTGGGGATGCAAATAACAGTGAAATGTGAAAAAAGAATCATAGTGAAAGGCAATCTGTTTCTAGATTAATGATATACAAATTTCACATGAAAAATAACTGCAATATATTTGTTCCAAGAGATCAACACTTAAAAGAAAGTCAATGTAGTCAATATCACATTTCAAGTCATTTTGTTTTTTTGTGATGGCACAAAAGTTTATATAAAGCAAAATTTTGCCTTTATCCCCCTAAACAATCCTTTGCATTACTTCCTGACCTGCCACAAAGCAAGAAGCACTGTTGTCGCAGGAAAATTTGTTTAGGTTGAACTGTAAAAAAAAGAACATGTTGTGTCCATTTTACAATTCACCCATGTTTCTGTAATCTCACCCAAGTGAATTTAAAGTGGAGATCATTTATCATATTACTTTGCTACACTTTCATCTTGTATATGAAAATTAAAAGATGTGGTTACAATGATTAAAATAATCCTCTGAATAACCTTTCATCAAAATTCTTGTAGAAGTTAAAAGGTCACTTACCATGCTTGCCATCTGCTCCTCTAACAACTTGATATGCATCTCCAACTTCTCAACTTGCTAAATTGCAATGGTCAAAAATACAGAAATGAAAATTCAGATTATACAGATACAGTTTTTGTGCAATTAATTTGGTTGCTACATTTGCACACAACGCAGACGACCGCCGATCTCAATTGTAGGCCAAGATCTACATTTAATGACGAGATGACGCCCCTTTGCAAATATGGAGATAAACCTGCTCTTTCATATGACACCTCATTTTTTTAGTATCACCTTCAGGATCACAAGCACTAAAGGTTTGAATCTCGATTTGGAAATAATTTGTTTAACCAATCTTGCATGACCGCGCAATGCACGTAGACTGCATGGGGATATATGCGTGCAATCTCAATGGGAAGGATTTTGGCACACAAAATTGAGTGCGCCTAAGACTAGGTCTCTACCTGCAAGTTATTAACACAGACCTCGATAGACAAACTTGATTACCATGATTGATAAGTCGCACATGTATATAAAAGACATAATGACTGCTTTAATATTCAAGGAATAGTTGTTTTATAGGCTCTTGGGGACGTTGCATTTTGCCATCACTCCTTGGCACGCCTCTGGATGATATCAGGATGCAACATCCCCTGTCATTCAATCTATAAATATGTGCTCCAGGAACATGTACTCTGCATAACACTAGTCAAATATACAAAATAAAACCTAACCCTAGACCTGACATAAGGCATAATCATAACCCAGACTTTAACCTCTATCTTTGATAAAACAAGGGCCTGAGCAAATTTCAGATTATGAAAACAGAGTGCCAAGGTCTCACCCACATTAAACAAAAAATGTATCAAAATATCTAGGACAAAGAAATTTGAGTTTCTTCTTGAAATTCAAAGTCGATTCACAAAGTGTAAACTATATCATCTTAGGACACCTGCATGCATCGAGATTAAACAAAAGGGGAAAAGGAAAAAGGTCTCAATAAATTGTATATGTATCTATGATGATATGTACATAAACTTGATGACACCAAAGAGACAGTGGTTAATTTGTCCCCTTTCTACTTGCACATACACATATATCTTTAATGAAATCAATTCTCTTGTTATTGTCCATCACATACCTGGTCACTAGTGGTTAACTCCTCCTCTAGCTGTCTGTTGACCTCTGGCCCTGAGTTTGCTTGAAGGGACTCTACCTGCTGCTGAAGGTCACTCACGGTGTCCGTCAGCTCAAAGTTGACTCCCTCCACTTCAGCAAGCTGCGACAACGAAAGATTAATATAAAAATGAATAATAATTATTATTTAAATTTATAGGCCCTCTATAAACCATAGAACCACAAACTTACAAGAATTTAGTAATGACTGCTGTCTTCACAAAAACATTGTAGCAAAGCAGACATTGTTTTCTTGAAAATGTCCATACTTTATGAGGTTTTCATAGCAAAGTGATGATTATCTACCTTGCAATATCTTCCTCATTTAAACTGGGGAAAATGCATCCATTCTACCTTATTTACCCCCTTAAAATAACAATACCCACACCCCTTACTAAGAACCAAGGCCCACAAAAGTGTTTACACAGATTCAGTGTAGGAGGAAATGTTTGTCCCTCCTGAGGCTAAGGTCTGGATATACCACTAGTACTGGTAGGGGTTAATGGCTCATAGTAGCACAAAGCATGGTAGTCTATATGAACATCTACTACAATTTAAACCTGACACCTGGTTTAATATTTTGTTCAAAATCAGGTTTAATAGAGGACGTTTGTCCGAGGTCAAAGGTTCCCTTTTGTTAATCATGTTTTTAGACCAAAGGTCGGATTTAACTGAATTAGTACAACACGGACCAAAGACTTAAAATGACAAATAATAAAGGCGTATAAAGATCAAACCAACCTGTTTTTCTAGAATGTTGGCTCTGTCCACTGCTTCCTCTATTTTGATCTCTGATGCATTCAATAATTCTTTATATTCTGAGACCTGCTGACCCAGTAGATCCACCTGTAATACAAACAGAAATGTAAATGTACATGCAATGCAGTCAGGAGTTGTGTGTAGATTTTACACACCACTGCTATCTATGCCATCAATAGAAGTGTATGTCACAAAAGAACACATCACAAGGCATGATTCTGAAACATGGTTCACTTTACCATTTTTTCATTTGTTTGAATGGAAGAGAAAAGCATTTCGACAGGTTTGTTCAAATATCACAAAAAAGCTGCCATGTTTTTAAAATTGTAAATGAATGGCAACTGCGCGCAACAACGGACTTCTGCATATTCAATGGGCTCTGTGTCATAAGATACCGAAATGTGAACCGTATTAAATTTGAGGTAATCACAAAAAATAAAGATGCTGCGGATTTGCCGCATCATATCTGAATGAGCCCCAAGACTAAACAAACCTATACTTTCAGATTTAAGCTTGAATCGAAGCCGCCACGGTGCCACCTATCATAGGTTATTTCATTCTTTCAGAACCATCGGCTATGGTACTGAAAGAATTAGATTACTCTGGTACAAACACAGTTTAAAAAACACTGACTTTGTCCGATAGTTAAGGTGTACCTACATGTAAGGCAAGCTATTCTTCATTTCCACCGATCTCTACAAAATTCATAGTTCAAACTAACGACAAAGATTTGTCCTACCACAACCATCAGAAATCAATGTGTAGAATATACCTTGGTTTTACTGGAGTTGAGATTCTCCACAATGCAGCCATCTGAGTTTGATCTTGTCCATCTGAGAAAGAAAAAGAAAAAAATAAATTCTGTTAACCAACTTGATACATTATTCTTTTTTATCCCAAATATCTTTGGAGCTTGTAATAAATAAAATGTCATGTCAGTTTTTAAAGGATTACTTGAAATGCTGTGGCAACCAAAACCACACTCCTTCAATTTGCCTATGGTACAGTCTGATATTTCAAAAGAAAAAGAGGACACAATTTTGCTAAGTTAAAACTACATGTTCACACCTACCGTACAAGATACATAAACAGAAGGTGAAAAAAAATTGTAAGGATGAAAATAAAAAACAATTAAAGTCAGATTCAAAAAGGCTGATCTTTTTAAATAAAAGACTTTACGTTTTCCAAATGATATGGAATAATCTTTTCTGTAGGGGTGGTTCTTCTTCTTCCATTTTGAGTACATACAGTACCTCTTTACAGAATATTATCGTACTATACTATGGGGTGTGTGCAGGTGGACCACTACACCGGGGTTTCTCCCTACTCTTATATGAATAGTGCAGTGGTTTTTTAACGTCCTATCCGAGGGATGGAGTGTTTTCCACTTAACATAGCCTGCGTCTATGAACAAGGGGAGGGGCATGTTAACACACAACGCTGGCTTCAGTCATCCGCCTGGTTGGGATCAAACCCGGGATCTTTGGTTCGACAGGCAGACGCTTTACCGACTGAGCCAACTCGCCTCCTCCTTGGGTGCCTTTACTTTCAGCGCAACTTTGCAAACTTTGAGTATGGAAGAACAAACAAAGCTTATCACTTACACAGGTCTGGATTCATTAGGATCCTGCTCCCCCTGCTCCTTGATAAGGGCAACCTTCTTCACACCGGTGGTACTAGCCCCGTGCCCCATGGTAGCTAAAATGCTCTGCGATTAGATATCATTAACAGCAGTGTCAAAGCCTCTTCTTAGTCTCCATGTAGTGTTTGTAACTTCGAGAACTTTGGTGTAAGACGTCATCTAGAGGGGGTGATAAAGAAAAAGACTGATATAAATTCATATTCATACATGTATATCATTTTACATTTTAAGATTCACCAATACATATGATGTTTGACAACAAATTTTTATGTTTTTCTTTATAGCATTTATGTGAAAATTAAATTTATTTTCTCTCCAACCATCAGAAAAAACAAAGGCAAATTTTGGCCGGATTCTCTTGAAAATTGGCTACATGTAGTTACCTTTTCTTCAGTTGCAGCACAAACCAATCTAACATCCAATTTTGACATGGCGATATCGACAGAATTCTTTTGATTTTTGTTTTCTAGTCGCACCCATTACTAATAGTTTAAAATTTGGTACTTATTGATATAAATACATTTGTGTAGAATATGAGAAATCCTGGATCAAATATCACATTCCTAAATTTGATTTGTCTGCAAACTTTGGACACCCTACAATACAATATACAGGTGACTTTGACGTGAGCGGAAGTCAATTCACAGTAAAGGTCACAATTTTTACAGCTCGCTAAGAGTCTACCTTAGTATTGTAACCGTTAGTGATAGGGTTATAATAATCATGCAAATTACCATATAAACATTGTTAGCTCAATCGGTAAGAATAATAATGATAATAATAATAATAATAATAATTGTTAGCTCAATCGGTAAGAACAGTGTAATAAAACGTTGTAGTTATGGGTTTGAATCTCAGTATTTATTCATTTAAGTTTGGCAGGAATCCATCAATCATTTCTTGAGATAACGCGATCACAAGCTATTTTTGCATACATAATGAGCACTGTGACCTTTGACCTTTGACCTCTTGACCCCAAAATCTATTCAATTCATTAGCTTTACAAGATACATACATGACCTAAGTTTGGCAGGAATCCATCAATCGGTTCTTGAGATAACACGATCACGATCACAGGACGTACGGACGGAAAACCCGAAAACATTATGCCTCGATCCGGATACCTCGTAACAGAGATTTTTACAAACTGCACATTCAAAGGTACATAGAGTACAATGTTTATGTCAATCTTGCGTTGATTTGAGCCCCATAGCTACATCCATCTCAAAATGAGAAGGAAAACTGTGAACAGTGACGTCATTGTTCGAGCCAAGAATAGAGGTTATTGTGACACATTACCGGTATATGAATATGTACGAGCTCCGGTCAGATCACGCGCCAAACAAATGTAGCGTAGTCTCACACAGTGGCGTACCTGGGGTACTCCGTCAGGGGGGGCAAGCGACCGAAACAAACAAAAAAGGCGATGCTAATTTTCACTTCTGGCGAGCGAGCAAAAAAAAATCTTTAAGTAACGTTTGGTGTATAAACTGGTATTGTTGCAAGTTGGGGGTGGGAACATTCACTTGTTAGCGACGTTAATTTCTTTTTTTTGCAAACGAGCGTAGCGAGCAAGAAAAAAATCACTTCTTTTTTAATAATTGCCACTTAAACTTGGTCCAATTGTCCTATGCAGGGCGCGGGAACAATATCGTGTTTAGGGTGATTTTATACCCATTTTAGCTAGCGAGCCAAAATATATCTTTCTCTCAATGAATTGCTATATAAAATTTGTTCCATTGTTACAGGTCGGGGGCGGGCACAATCGTGTTTAAGGCAATGTCAATCCCATTTTGGCGGGCAGGCAACCCCCTACATTTCTCTTTGCAATGATATTTTAGCAGGTTAGTGGTGGGCACATAATTCCACGAGCTAGCGAGCGTAGTGAGCGAGCGAAAAAAATCACTTCTCTTTTATAGGGAAAATATGGTACATAAAACTTGGGTTCATTGTTCCATGTCAGGGACGTGATTATTAAAAACGGTGTTATTTCTATTAAATCACTTCTCATTTATAGGGAAAATATGGTACATAAACTTGGGTTCATTGTTCCATGTCAGGGACGTGATTATTAAAAGCGGTGTTATTTCTTTTTTGGTGAGCGAGCGTAGCGAGCGAGCAAAATTTTTGTAATGATAACTGGTTCATAAATTTCAGATTTTTTTGTTGCAGGGCAGGGCTTACACAATCATGTCTAAGGTGATGTTAATTCCGTTTTGGCGAGCACGAGCACACCAAAACTTCTTTGAATAACGTTTGATACATAATTATTAACTGGTTGTTGCAGGTTGGGGCGGGCACGTTAGCGGTGTCAATTCCAGTGAGCATAGCAAGGCAAAAAAAAAATTTCTCTTTTAATAGAAATTGATAAATAAACTAGTTTTTATTGGTGCAGGTCAGGATGGACGCAATCGCGTTTAACGCGATTCAATTCCTTTTTGGCGAGAGGGCGAAAAAACTCTTCCATTTTTAATGATATTGTTGCAGGTCAAGGGTGGGCACAATTGTTTCTAAAGCAATATCTATTCATTTTATTCGCGAGCAAGTGTAGCGAGAGAGAAAAATGAATTACTCTCTTTTAGTAACTTTTGGTACATACACTGTGTGTTATTGTTGCCATGGTTGCAGGCCGGGGCCCGTCGGGGCAGGCACAATTGTATTCTAGGCAATGCTAATCCTTTTCTTTTTTCAGGGGGACGAGCAAGTGAAAACATTTAATACAAAATAGGCTAGCAAGCAGTTCGCGCCAGCGAAGAGTTTCGAATTTGTTATATCACTTATATTTTCCTATTTTCATTTGTCTTAATTTTTCAGGGCCGTATGCGGAATATTTTTCTGGTGGGGGAGGGGGAAAGATGCGTTAAAAGTTTTCGAAGAATCTCAAAAGCAAAAGGAGTGAAGGGAGTTCGAGCGACCGAACTGGTCATGAGGGTACTTTTGCATTTTCAAAAGTAGAATTGAAGGATTTGGTATAGGCCTACACTACATTTTCAGGAAAAAAAACTGTACGTTTTCAAAATATCTGGGGTCAACTGCCCCCCCCCCTGGTGCGTACGGCCATGATCTTTTTTTTTTAATTTCCCCATTTTTTCCTTTCCTTTTCTTTTCAATTTTTCTTCCTTTTCTCTTCTTCTTCCTTTTTTCTTTCCTTTTCCTTTTTTCTCTTTCTTTCCTTTTTTTCTTCCCTTTTCTTTTTTTCTTTTTCTTCTTTTCCTTTCTTTTCTTTTTTTCCCCTTTTTCTTTTTTTCCCCTGGAGCCCGTCAGGTGGGGCACTCTGCCCCCCCTGCCCCCCCCCCCCATAGGTACGCCAGTGGTCTCACACATACATGTAGTACCTTATTCTCACAGCACTAGACATGAGTGTCGTACAGTAATGTATGAGAAGTGTTAAAAAAGATATTTCAGTAAAAAAAAAAGTCTACGTGAGCAGTCTATCCTCCAATTGAAAAGTTGGAATGGCCATGGAAAGCCATGATTCGAAGGCGTGTGTTTAGTGTATGATACATGGTTAGTGAGTGTTACTTATAGCGAGAGAGAGAAATAAATAATACAGTACACGTGTGCATATGTTGCAGTCCTATTGTTGATTCCGGATTGTGTTCGCGGCAAGATGGATGTTAATTGGATCTCCTAACTTCTCGTTGATAATGCAGTGTCATTAGACTGAAATCTTTACTCGTGAGGAAATACTATTGGAATACAACTCAAATCTACTGTAATTATTAATTTTAATCACTTTCTGGGTTTATATTGATTGTTTACAATCACCGTTTGCTTTCTCTCTCTGTTTTGTCCCTCCATGGCTCGATTTCAGGATTGCCGCTGACGAGTGAATGTACTTTCGTTTTAAATTATGGACTTTGTCCGGGCAATGACACGCCCATCCCCTCGGGCCTGTCTAATTATGAACGTAATTTCGTGACATGAAATATGATTGTTTCAAGGCTCTTACGGACGGATTAGCGTAGAAGGAACCCCCAACTTTAGAGCTGGATATCTCCTATTTTATGGAACTTCTGGAGTCAGCAGATGGGTGAGTTGTCTTAGTTAAAGAAAATACTTTCTTTTAAAGTTTGTTTTATTATAAATAAATGAGTAATTAAAAAATTAGAATTTGGTATTGGCCTCCCTATTAACATCGGAAAGTTGAAAAAATTGTATTTTACTGTTATTTAGGTGTCATCGATCGTCACTAAAGTACTGATTTTTAGTGCAATCAGTTGAGTTTTGTACTGTGGTGTTTAAATGTTGAGAATCAATAGCACAGCTTTTAATACACAGCCAGGATAGTAATGCACCTAGATTTTTCGATGTAGTACATGTATGTGTGATTCTAGACCTAGATTCTAGATTTAGATCTAGGCCTAGTTCTATCTAAAATTTAACAATAAAAATGTTAGATCTAGTCTAGATCTAGACCCTCTAGGCCTAGATCTAAATCACACATACTGTAGGAGCATCACTATCCTGGCTGTGTAGACTAGTAAAAGCTGTGCTTTTGATTCTCAACATTTCAAACACCCCTGTACAAAACTCAACTAATTTCACTAAAAATCGGTACTTTAGTGACAATTGATGACACCTAAATAGCAGTAAAATACATTTTTTTTAATTTACTGATGTTAAAAAGAATAATTTAAAAATTCAAATTGTAAGTCTAGTGTCAAACTTTGCTTACAGCTGCATCCACATCATTATGTACAGTCTATGCGATTTTGTGTGGTGTGTGTATTTGTGTATGGGTATAATAATACCTGCCTCACAGCAAGCATGCAGTACTAGAGGTCAATACGCATTGGCATCGACTCTCTTAGACAGAAATAACCGTCTGATATGGGTCATTTCTTTAATAAAACTGACATTTGTTGACATTCCCCATATACAGATGGTGGAACAGAGATCTCGTACCATAGGGGCCAGCGATGAACATCTTTTCGTTCACGACATTTTCTCCCCGATTTTCTTTATTTAGATCTAATTTTCTGATTTCTAAATCAGATGTAAATTAGGTTGGGTATGTCTATATCCCAATTACAGTTATCAAAATTTGATAACTTAATATTAAATGCATAATTTACGGACTTACTTATATGAATTATCCAATTTGTATCTCAGAACTGTGAAATAGTACATTCATGCACTCGAACATAGAGCTATACGACCCTGCGGCCGATATATTTCCTGGTCAACCTACCAAAACATAGCCAATGGATAATCAGAGCACTCGTTTCGTGGGTATTCGATGGTCAAGCCGGGCTGACTCGTACATAGCTACGGTAGCTATTGGACGTTCGAAAAGAAAAAATGAATATTCATCAACTAAAACCAAGATGGCTGACAATGGAGTTAGTTGACTACGAGACTTTCTTGGATTAATCATTAATTGAGGATCTAAATGAGCAAGCTATCGTAAGTCAAATAAGCTATATATATATTATTTTTAATTGGACTCTAATTATTGTAATATTGCAGCATGTATGAGGATGTAAAGAGTGAAAATCTCGTTGCATATCTCATTCATCGCGGTCCTACCGAACCGAACCATTGGTTCCGTACAGTCCCGATAGGACAATCTTCAGTCTCTATAATCGGAGGTCTAGTGGAGCCAGACGTAGTCTCAGTGGAACAACCGACGATTAGAGAGACTGAAGCTTTTGGTCTATGACTCTCTATGCTTTGCTGGAGTGGTAGAGTGCCCAGTATTCGGTCACTTAAGAGGAAATCACTAATATTTTGAATTCTTACCTCTTTTATTTGGCAATCTACCCATCAAAAGAAAAGAAATTTATTCCTCTAACAGGATTTTATAGTCACTTAAAATATAGAATAATGATAAGCAAAATACTTCCGAAAGAAGACGGAGCATTTTTCTGCCCAGAATTCGGTCGCGCCGATTAGAATTCGGTTACGCGATTTGTGCGTGGTATCTCCGTTGCCAAGGAGTGAAGCGTATTTGCGCACTGTTTTCACACAATTGCGCGATAAAGCACTGAATGTCAATGCGTTGACCGAATACTGGCCAAGCGATACCGCATGGCAAGGGACAAGGGTATCATATAAATACCTCTCGCACATCGGCAAGTGCGTCATTTGCAAATTCACTGCGATGGAGTGAACACGGAAGTGATTCTCTTCACACACATACTAAATTCATTGTGACAGCACACGTAGTTGTTTTGCAATAGACTTCTACATATGGCTATGCATGTTAGCGCATGTGCTAAGAGAACGCGAAAGTGCAGAAAGATGTGCGACACTGACCAATCTCGAGCCAAGTTGGAGATCTTTCCGGGGCCCTAAATCTGATTTAATTTTGAGAGTTAAGAAAAGTTGTTTTGTGATTTGTGCAAGTTTCGAGGCTCTTAAATTATTTTTTAAATTGTTACAGCTGTTGAAACGGCTGAATACTGGGCGCGCTACCCTAGTCTAGACCCTCTAAACTGCTATTAGGCCTAGACTCTAGGCTAGTGCTAGACCTAACTTTAGATCTAAATGAGAATTGAGATTGGAAGAAGAAAAAAAATTACCAAGTAATTAAGAGAAAGAGAGGAAAATTCAGATACGTCGAAACTGGTAAAAATTATAGTGAAAGTTGACTAATTGCCATTAGTCTATAGCACTATGTAAAGTTCTAAAAGAAGAAAAAGAACGAAGAAGACAAGTTTGGTCATAAATAAAATTACAAACGCAAACATTAACGTATCGGACCATCGTGTAAGTCTAGCTTTATTCGTTACACGATTCTGGATCATCGGCTTCTATTTCTGGCTTGATAGCTATACCCTAGTATTAGCATAATAATGATATATTTGAGAAGGACAAAACATACCTTAAATTCTTCGTTAAATGACACAAACATCCGACATAGCAACCAAAAAAGCGTCTTGCCATTCCGTCGCCGAACGACAAAATTAGGAATGCTGTGCTTTTATTGGACAAAGATGGCGCACTTCAAATTTATGCAGAGAACGAGAGGAGTCTACGTATTTTCAGTCTGTTAGCCGAGGACATAGAGATATATACTTAATAAGTATATATTATTAAGTATATATCTCTATGGCCGAGGACGTGTACTACCTACCCTCGATGTATTTTGTTTAGTCCCACTGTACTACTTATAGCTACTTGCGCCCTCTATATAGCAAACAATGCATAATCGGTGCCTGTTGGTCCCCCATGACCCCCCCTTTCTTATGTCAATTGAGAGCTGATTTGATGAGATAACCACCTGTTAGTGACCTTGCAGAGAGGTATAACGGGTATAACCCCCTGGCCAAACTATAGTGCATGTGCAGAGGGGCTAAAATATGAATGAAGGATAGGCCTTTCGATCCATGTTCTGCCTGAGCTGGGGAAGGTAGAAAAGCTTACATTTACCTTTTTTCTCCCCATCCCACAGAAGAGACTAGCTAAAACCTAAAAAGGATTAGGTAAAAGTGATCGTCAGCGTTTCAATTTCTTTTTTTGATTACCCCATCCACCCCCCCCCCCCCAAAAAAAAAGTATAATAAAAATGATAGGAAATAAAATTTAACTAATTTTGCGATCTGCCGACAAGCTTTAAAACTGAAAGGTACGTGAAGAAAATTATAAAGAGGGAATTGGATCCCACCCATTAATCAATGGCCATTGTAATTATATTACAATTAGTTAAAGACTGCTAGGGGTAAATAAGTCATATTGTTTCATAAAATAATTATTAGGCAGTATATATCTAGCCCCGAATGGTGTAAACTAAATCTCATACAACGCCCCTCCCCAAGATTACAACATGTAACTCAAAAGAAGAAGCAAGGGTAATATTCATTTCCGTAATGTTTATAATTTCATTTAAAATAAAAACAATACAATTAATTCTTCAAAATACAATTATTTGTTATCATAAATTTATAAATAGTTAAATACATGTACAATACATAAGTTACGATCGAAAAAAATGAATGAAATCAGTTACTAGTATAATATAAAAATTAAAAAATAAAACCCCCTCCCTTACTACCTAATCCCAAACAAAACCACTACCGTCTGCAACTCACTCATCCTCACACATGCACACTCACATGTACACACCACAATAACATAAAGTCACAGACAAGAGAACCCTCAAACACCCCCAACAACCCCCCCCCCCCCCGCACAAACATACACATACAAACACCAAATGCACAGCAAGGTATACCTTGCTGTGCATTTGGTTGTTTACTGGTTGCTCACATACATAGTCACATTTTTTGTAATGCAATGAAAACCTGCCTACCTTGATTGCTAGTTACTTTTCGTCTTCTGTAAAATCCGTAATAATTTTTCTGTATTTTAACACTGGAAGGTAAATGACCTTCTGCCCTTGATTTTGATTTTTTTTTCAACACAGTTATAATAGTATTCACACACTTAATTAATTCTATTCGAGATACCCGACAATCCTAAAATTACATCTTTCCACTCCGTATCCCTTAATTCAACTAAATCGAAGTGATCATTAATAAATTGCCATAATCGTTTGACCTTCACACAATTTAGTGTCTCTGGATCTTTTTGGTAAAATTAGCAAAAATTATCCTGAATAAAACTGATTTCCATTAGTTGTTCATTAATTGTATAATAACATTTCTTTATCCGTATATTTGTAGAATATACCCAATTAACCCTCCACTCCGCGCACTCAAGCACGCACATACAAACACACGTACCTACCACATGTACACACCAAGAAGAAGAAGAATTAAGAAGAAGATTGGATTTCACGACATCATATTATCCTCTTTTTTTTAATCATTAGATTTGGGAAGTGAAAGTGAAAGAGAGTTTCCTACCAATGAAGTTATATACACTATGTAAAAAAAAGGAAATGAAAAATTACAAAAGTATGGAAGTTTATATTTCCATTTCCTCGTCAGTATCCTCACCAGGCTTGTAAGCTGGATCCGTACATGCTATCTTCCTCTTTGCACCAGTATCCTCATCAGGCGTGTAAGCTGGATCCTTCCATGCTATCTTCCTCTTTGCACCAGTCTTAGTCCCACCAGCGGCCTCTGCTCCCTCACCTACAATCCCCCAAAATAGAAATAGCGGTAAACTGAAGGAGAAGTCCACCATGGCATTAAGTTGGTTTTAATAGAAGCAGAGAAATGACAGGAACAGGTTAGTGAAAGTTTGAGCAAATTCCGATTGAAAATAGGAAAGTTATGTACTTTTGGAGTTGCGATCAATCAAACCCGAATTGACAACTATGTGACATATCTTGGAGGTGCCTTCCCATTATGATCTGTACTAAAAAATAAAAAATAAATCCTCTAGAAGTTCGTTGTGCTAAACTATTCACAATAAGATAAATTAGCTGTTACATTCCCTGATTCCCCATATAGCCACCACATTGTGCAATCGATGGTGCGTAGCCTATGTATTCCTTTTTACTGCAGTGTTAGGATGATGGCGACAAATCGCCTTTTTTGTGATAGTCGAAAGATTTGGTTGTCTCATAAAGCTTGCGCGAGAGGAATAGAAAGTTGTGAATATGATAACCTGGTGTGCCGCAACGAGAGTTCGGGAGGGATACAGGTTTTTTCATTTCCATGAGTATTTCCTCGTCTGACCGGAAAGGAATGTTCAACCTCTCGAATCCTGGAGACAAAAAGCAAAAATATCTTTAACGGTTTAATTCTACTGCAGTTTTTTTACTTTTCTGCAACGTTTCAACAAACGTTTCAACAAAAACAGCTGTACATACTTTGGCAACGACTTCAAATATTTGATCGGCAAATAATTATTCATAGTTTCATTTGCAAGAGAACCGTATTTAAACATATGTCTGCCAGTCAAGTGTTTTGATATTTTTCTCCCATGTTGAGAATTTATTTACCTCTAAATTACACACATTTTCAAATCATGCACTTTTTGTTATTCTTGTCAGAAAATATATACAGGATAATGACTCTCTCTACTCTTTTTCGAGTTTTGTTTGGAAAAATATTTCTGCAAATTGGTCTGGCCTCTGTTCCCCTTTTACATAATACTTTACAGTGATTTTACGTCATAGCCTCCGATTAAGCATTATTCATTCAACAACAAAAAAGAGGGAATACCTTATTGCAAGTTAAATAATATCATATTGAAGTCTGAATGTTGATTCATTATTTTTTAAAGAGTTCTGTCACATCTTTACTGGTGTTGACAATTATGAAATGTATGGTTGACCTTATCTTTGAGCTCAGTACATTTTGATCATCACTATGTTGTTGTTTCCGTTATAAATTAACATACTAAAAATTTTAATCTACGAACCTGCTTTGATTACATCATTACAGTCCGGCATTTCACTCTGTAGAAAGATCTTTCTCAGTTGCAGAGCACTTTCACTCTTCCGTCCATGTCTCATAACATACTTGGTGATGAGTATGCTGAATGCGCCATGTTGATTCATGGTGAGATTGGCCCCTATCGCTGCGGCATTGCCCTCGGCTTTGGTGAATCCCAGGTACACGCTAAAGTCATCTGCACGGATATTCCCAGGATTAATCAGTTTTGACAATCTCTGCACAACTTTGTCTGTCAAAATGTCTGCCATCACAATTTGCGAAGCTCTAACGCTACTAAAAGAAATATACATAATATAATAACATTACGATTTAAATAAACGAATAAATGGATACATTTTCACTCTAACATACTCTTATGTTTAGAACACAAATTAGGTAGGGCCTGGAATCCAGATGATTCTTAAGGGCGGCGATTGCGCAATCGAGGGAATGCTTTTGAATAAATGAATTCATGTAGATCAAGCAATCAATAAAGACTTTCATAGAAATGATATAATACTAAATAGTTCGTGTTGCTTATGAACTGATGATGTTTGGGGCAAACTGAATATTGATATATTTTACTATTTTACATTATACTAGGCAGTTGACCCCTCCCCCCCCCCAAAAAAAAAAAAATAATAATAATAATCAAACGTGGTTTATTTCTAATTCGAAACCAATGATTTACAAATGTTGCAAAAATGAAATGAATTTCAGGGTTTTTTCTCTTATTTGTGCCCATTATGCCAGAGGCGGCACTCCAAGTGGGGCAGGGAGGGGGGGGGGATAAAGGCGGCCCTCCCGCGGGGGCAAGGGGGGCACAGTGCCCCCCACTTTTTCAAGCACCGAAAAGTGCCCCTTTTTACATAGGAAAAGTGCCCCTTTAACTTTTTAAGAAATGCCCCTTTTGAATGAATGGATACATTTTCACTCTAACATACTATTATGTTTAGAACACAAATTAGGTAGGGCCTGGAATCCAGATGATTCTTAAGGGCGGCGATTGCGCAATCGAGGGAATGCTTTTGAATAAATGAATTCATGTAGATCAAGCAATCAATAAAGACTTTCATAGAAATGATATAATACTAAATAGTTCGTGTTGTTAATGAACTGATGATGTTTGGGGCAAACTGAATGTTGATATATTTCACTATTTTACATTATACTAGGCAGTTGATCCCCCCCCCCCAAAAAAAAAAATCAAACGTGGTTTATTTCTAATTCGAAACCAATGATTTACAAATGTTGCAAAAATGAAATGAATTTCCGGGTTTTTTCTCTTATTTGTGCCCATTATGCCAGAGGCGGCACTCCAAGTGGGGCAGGGAGGGGGGGGGGATAAAGGCGGCCCTCCCGCGGGGGCAAGGGGGGCACAGTGCCCCCCCCCCCCCACTTTTTCAAGCACCGAAAAGTGCCCCTTTTTACATAGGAAAAGTGCCCCTTTAACTTTTTAAGAAATGCCCCTTTTGAATGAATGGATACATTTTCACTCTAACATACTATTATGTTTAGAACACAAATTAGGTAGGGCCTGGAATCCAGATGATTCTCAAGGGCGGCGATTGCGCAATCGAGGGAATGCTTTTGAATAAATGAATTCATGTAGATCAAGCAATCAATAAAGACTTTCATAGAAA